GACGGCGAGCGCAGCTGGTAGCCCCGCCTTTACATTAGTATGAACTGCAGCAGGGAGTTCCGCAGTTCCTGGGCCAAGCTTTTGAGGCCAGCAGATGAAATGCGCCCCGGCCGCTAGCTCCAAGACCAGGAATGCCTGCAACTTCAGCTAACTTCCCCTCTCCCTTTACTTTGTATCTTTCCCTAATAAAGTGCTTGAAATTTGAAACTTTCTATCTCCCTGCATGTTACTTTTGTATCCCTTCTTGGCTCAAAACTCCGAAAACACCTCCAGGCGCCCTCCGGACCCCGAATCTGCGTTCGATCAGATTGCGGATACTGGAACCGCCATTACAAACCTCGCTATCCACAAAAACACTTAACATGGCGGATCGCCGCCGTCCCAATTCCATATTTCTCTAGGACTAATTCTAAGCCCAACTGCTGTCTTCTTTTCCTTGTCTTGGGCTGCTCCACCCGAGGAAAAATTAGTTTTGTTTTGAGTATTTCTATCTTGCAGAGAAACAGCTGATTGTCAGTTGGCCGGATTTTCCTCTTCTCCACGGCAGCGCTCGCTCCCCATTGATCCTGGCCGCCTGGGACCTGCGGCAGCCGGCCGCAGGAGCCCCCGGAAGGGGGGAGGGGGGGGGGGCCAGACGGGTCCCGGGTCTCGGCTGGGAGATGCAGCTTTCTCAAGGACATTGCCCCACTCCCTTCCACTTCTGGCCTCCTTGCGGACCTCTTTGCCCTCACTGATTGACTTGATGCCCTATCGTCATGAACTTCCTCCACGAACTCTGAACCAGGCCTCTTGGAGGGAACAGCCTCCGCCTGTGCGTGTGCCCTTGCCAAGAAGATCCTACTTCAAGCAGGAATGGATTACTTTCATCAAATTATCGCCTCTAATAAACTTTGTCGGGTTGGGGTGGGAGCCCCCTTTTATGGAATTTATGAAGACTTATGATGATATGTATAATATGAAATCTATGAAATGTACCTTTGCCTTTTTTCCTACCTTTTCCCTCTGAACTTTACCTTACTAAGAAAGAATGTGACCTGAGGTTACAGCTGAGGAAACCCAATTTTCCTCAGAATAACCCCATTCATATTGACAATTTGCATGGATCAGGGTTGACAATAGTCTCAAGGCTTGTTTTCAGAGTCAGACAAACAAGCCAGGGATGGGTCAACCGAAACCCGGAAAACGGACTGATTGAATCAATCATGGTATTTGTGTAAGCTCCTTTGTGACCGAGGATCCCCTTGTCCACAGAGTTGAGATCCAAATACCACCAAATAACCCCTTTTCATGCCTATACACATCTGCAATCAGAAGTCAGGAAATCCTTTGTTTCTCCCGTCTGCCACCCTGCCGTGTAAGAACAAAGGCCTTCAATCAGCTGGCGGACGCCTCCCAGGCGTTCCACCCACCTCGAGCTGTCAAAACACGTCCCGCCTCCTGGCCGCTGATTGGACCATCTTCAGAGGCGCTCTGAGGGCTCTGATTGGGCCCCTGGAGGCGGCAGCGCCCGGTGATTGGAGGGAAGGCGGGACAAGCGGCCAAGCCTCCTCCCAGCTGTTCCAAAGCTAGCCAATCAGGGCGAAG